CCACACTAACACTTAATTGAATAGTTAACCACATTAACCCTTAAATGGCTAGTTAACCACACTAACCCTTAACTCAATAGCTAACCACACTAACTCTTAACCGGCTAGCTAACCACTAAGCCTTACCCAAATAGCTAACCACATTAACCCTTAACAGGCTAGCTAACAACACTAACCTTTTACCTGCTAGCTAACCAAACTTACCCTTAACCGGCTATCTAACCCCACTAACCCTTAACAGGCTAGTTATGGGATATTGTGGTTAGAATAGCTAACCACACTACCCCTTAACTGAATACCTAACCACACTCACCCTTAACTGAATAGCTAACCTCACTAACCCTAAACTGAATAGCTAAAAACACTAACCCTTTACTGAATAGCTAACCACACTAAGCCTTAACTGAATAGCTAACCACATTAACCCTTAACTGGCTAGCTAACCACACTAACCCTTAACTCAATACCTATCCACACTAACCCTTAACCGGCTAGCTAACCACACTAACCCTTAATTGAAAAGCTAACCACACTAACCCTTAACTGAATAGCTAACCACACTAACCCTTAACTGAATAGCTAACCACACTAACCCTTAACTGAATAGCTAACCACACTAACCCTTAACTGAATAGCTAACCACACTAACCCTTAACTGAATAGCTAACCACACTAACCCTTAACCGGCGAGCTAACCACACTAACCCTTAACTGATTAGCTAACCACACTAACCCTTAACTGAATAGCTTACCACACTAACCCTTAACTGAATAGCTAACCACACTAACCCTTAACTGAATAGCTAACTACATAAATCCTTAACTGGATAGCTAACCACACTAACCCTTAACTAAATAGCTAACCACACTAACCCTTAACCGGCTAGTTAACCACACTAACCCTTAACTGAATAGCTAACCACACTAACCCTTAACTGAATAACTAACCACACTAACTCTTAACTGAAGAGCTAACCACACTATCCCTTAACTGAATAGCTAACCACACTAACCCTTAACTGAATAGCTAACCACACTAACCCTGAACTCAATAGCTAACCACACTAACCCTTAACCGGCTATAAAACCACACTAACCCTTAACTGAATAGCTAACCACACTAACCCTTAACTGAATAGCTAACCGCACTAACCCTTAACTGAATAGCTAACCACACTAACCATTAAATGAATAGCTAACCACACTAACCCTTAACTGAATAGCTAACCAAATTAACCCTTAACTGGCTAGCTAACCACACTAACCCTTAACTGAATAGCTAACCACATTAACCCTTAACTGGCTAGCGAACCACACTAACCCTTAACTGAATAGCTAACCACATTAACCCTTAACTGGCTAGCTAACCACACTAACCCTAAACCCAGGAGTCGGCAACCTGCGGCTCTTGAAGGAGTCGCTTTCGTGACGTTATTAAAATGCACTGCGGACTCTGTAAACATTTGAGGTTGTTGTTTTTTCTTTAAACCGAATTCCAAAATAATGACTCTTCCTGTTACATTGGTTGCCGACTCCCCCCCACCCACCCAGCTGTGTCCCCTATGCGGTGCAAGGTGAGGCATCTGCCCGTGCGGGGTAGTGGTGGTGGTCGCGGCGATGATTGCGACCCAGTGTGTCACCCCAACGCAATCACACGACTTGAAGCAACCAAGCCCAACCAACCAACCGCCTATACCGTGTCATCTCACAGCGCCCCCCCCACCACACCCTGCCCCCGTTTCACAATCCACTGTTGGATGAAGACCTCCCCTGTGCCGTCATGGTCAATTGGAGGGGGATGGTTGTTTGACCATACTTCCCCACGATGGTCGGCGTGAGTTTGCTGAAACGGGCAACGCCCACCCCCCGTTCCCCCCCTCCTCCCCCGAGGGACCGACCGGTTCAGGGTTCAAACGTGGGCGAGCCACTGCTGTTAGCCCAGGCACGAGACTCGCATTCAGGTCACCAGCCACCACCACAATCGTTACCCAACTTTTTGGTCTGCGTGCAGGAATAATTCACGATTTTGACTTGCGCTAAATCAGCTCAAGCCTCCCGCGAAATCTCGTGACCTCTGCGTGCCCACCAGCCGCCACTCTGCAGGCCAGGGAGCACAACACGCAAACTACAAAGGCAAAGATCCTCCGAATAGTCTCAAGAGACTGTTGGGGCAATTTCTGTTAGCTAGTAACACCTACGAAGGCCGGCACGGCACACGAGGTGGGTGGCCAACACATACAAAGACAAAGATCCCCCGTGTAGCCTTAACAGAGTGTTGGGGCAAGTGCTGTTAGCGGGTAGCATCACGCCCGGCCGCCTTTGTCTCCCCTCTCCACGCACCGGCCACTGTGAAAACAGACGCCGCTCCGTGCATTAGTGACGTCGCCCCTTCCTTCACTCCGCATCCCCGTCTCTCCGTTACTTTGCCGTCCTCTTTCTCGTATTCCCCATTTCTGGCCCCTCCTCTCCCTTTTTCCCATCGCATCCTTTGCCGGCTCTTACCAACCCATTGCCGTGGCGTTGAGCCACGGGTTTACAAAAACAAGTTGCAGGTCAATAAAGCCGACAGTGGCATTTGTCACGCGACTCGGGTGGCCAGCTAGCTAGCGGAGCAGCCACGATGTACATACTGTATATGTTGGGAGTTCTTTCGCACCGTACGTAGCCAACCGCGCCAATCGGAGGTGCGGGCAGAGGGCGGAGGACAACGAGCTAAAACACAAAGAGCACTTCTAAAGAGCCGATGAGTCAATTTCGATTTTTTTTTTTAAGTGCAGAGCTCCCAGTGACTTCCTTAATGTCGGAAGGAAGAGCGTTTCAGATGGGGACCATGTGGCATACAACATGTGGCATGCAACATACGACATGCAACATACGACATGCGGTCAATTGTTTGGTGATGCTGCTTTGGCAGCGGTGCACACGCACGCACAAATAATGAAACTCGACGCTTGATGCAGGGGAAAAAATGGGCCCGTAAATGTCACTGCTCGACCACAGCTGTTAATGATATGATGCATGAATGTTGAACTTATTTCGCACCGTGCATAGCCAACCGTTGCTCATCGGAGGTGCGGTGGGGGGGGTAGGACAACAAACTAAAACACAGAAAGCAGCTCTAAAGAGATACGTTTGTAAATAAAGATATATAAAATTGCATAGCTCTCAGTGGCTCATTCTAGATTTGAAGTTTTCGTGACTGCAAGGATCCGTACTCTTTGGTTCTTTCGGTAAAGTCACGTAGGTGAAAAAAAATAGAAATAAATAAATCACGACGTTTCGATTGCAACGCAAGCAATCACCATCAGGTGTGACAACCACAACAAGCACATTTTTACTGAAGTGGGAACAGCAAGGGAATTTTTTTTTACTGAAGTGGCTTCCTAATGTCAGAGGGAAGGGCGTTCCACGTGGCGTTCGTTGGTCTCACACCGGTGAGACGAGGCCACAGAGAAGGCTGGCCCCTGGTGCAGGCAAATCACTTTCAAGGACAATGAGCGACATTATTGACAGAGCTTGTGTGTTTGCATGTAACACGACAATCGTGATGTGTGATTAACGCAGACTCTATGACGCCTTGAAATGACGGGGTGTGCGTCTATTTGGCGTTTGAACATCTTAACACAACGGTTTGACACGCATTGGGGCATTGGCGCCCATTATCATACATCAGAGGTTTGTGGGTGAGATCGCGTAGATCTAAATGTGTCGTCAAACCCGCCACCACCAAACACAGCCAATTATCAAGGTCTGTCACGTATACACAACGTGCCAATTCGTTACTGGTTCAGCACACCGGTGTGTTGGAGAGTAAACCTACAACATTTTCAATTCGGTAATTGCAACCAGCAAAACATCGTACTTGACTAGTGCCACGTGCCACGTGTCACAGTGCCACACACCACACGCCACGTGCCACGGTGCCACAGACCACGTGCCACAGTACCACACGACACGTGCCACAGCGACACACGCCACGTGCCACGGCGCCACAGACCACGTGCCACAGCGACACACGCCACGTGCCACGGCGCCACAGACCACGTGCCACAGCGACACACGCCACGTGCCACGGTGCCAAAGTGCCACGCGCCACAGGGCCAAGACGGCGCGCGACTGGGCGACTGCTCAGGCGCCACGCGTCACTCTCGCCGCCCCGCCCCCAACACCACGTGATTGGGAAACGTCACAGTTGCCAAGATCACAGTACGACCAATCTCGGTGCCATTCACAACTCCCCCCAGGAATATCTCGCTGGAGTCTCAAAACGACTGCACCCCACGCTCATCCCAGGCCCCGGGTTACGAAGAAGAGGTGGGTGGAGGGTGTGGACGAGAAAAGGACGAGGCAAGGGGGTCCCATCCATAATGAAGGGGGAGTTTAGATTGGGTGACTATAAATGTGTCGATAAACCCGCCACTAGCCGCACCTCCGATTAACACGGCTGGCTAAGTATGGCGCAAGGGAAGTTCAACTTACATACCCACCACACGCTCACCACGACCATAGCCTTACTCACCCCTCTCTCTCTCACTCACTCACCCATCTCTCTCTCACTCACTCACCCCTCTCTCTCTCTCACCCCTCACTCACTCACTCACCCCTCTCTCTCTCTCACTCACTCACCCCTCTCTCACTCACCCACCTCTCTCTCTCACTCACTCAAACCTCTCTCACTCACCCCTCACTCACTCACTCACCCCTCTCTCTCTCTCACTCCGGACCACAGCCTCACTCACCTAACTCACTCACTCACTCACCCCTCACTCACTCACTTACCCCTCTCTCTCTCACCTCTCTCTCACTCACCCACCGCTCTCACCCCTCTCACCCCTCTCTCACTCACCCACTGCGGACTACAACCTCACTCACCCCCTCACCCCCACGCCCCTCGCTCACCCACCCAGCCCGCACACCACCACCCCCCTCCACCCCAACTCGCGTCCACCTCACCTCTTGCACTCACCACCGCCCACCCCCCACCGTGACCACGGCCTCACCTCTCGCACGCGCGCACCGTCCACGCGGCGATGATCCACAGCGAGATGCTGAATACGAGCAGCACGGTGCCGGGGCAGATGGTCATGAGCGTCTTCATGACGAAGCGCGTGTTGAAGTTGATCTTGTTGAGGGCGCCGATGCTGCGTGACGACGCGTCCGTGAACAGCTTGCTGTGGAGCAGCATGACGCGCGCGATCAGGTAGAGCCGCAGGAACATGGGGATGGAGAGGACGATGTCGACGTCGGCCTCCACCTGCGAGGCGTCGTGCGTGAAGGCGAGCCGGGCCCGCCACGTGAACGTGTAGTGGCCCGGCACGGGGTGCACAGCGCAGATCGACAGCTCGAGAGCGATGAAGAAGATGCGCTCGCACGTCATGGCGATGCGCCAGTCGTCCGCGCCGTTGTCCACCATGAAGAGCTGCGTGCGGGGGAAGGGGCGGGTGGGGGGGGGGTGGAGTCGGGGGGGGTTGGTGGGTCAGGGGAGGACGGGCACCCGCGAAGGTTGGGGTCAGCCTCGACTCTGCTGATGAGAATGTGATTGTTGAAACCGTGTTGGACACGTGGCTAACCTGACTCTGCTGATGAGACTGTGATTGTTGAAACCGTGTTGGACACGTGGCTAACCTGACTCTGCTGATGAGACTGTGATTGTTGAAACCGTGTTGGACTAGTGGCTAACCTGACTCTGCTGATGAGACTGTGATTGTTGAAACCGTGTTGGACCAGTGGCTAACCTGACTGCTGATGAGACTGTAAATGTTGAAACCGTGTTGGACTAGTGGCTAACCTGACTCTGCTGATGAGAATGTGATTGTTGAAACCGTGTTGGACACGTGGCTAACCTGACTCTGCTGATGAGACTGTGATTGTTGAACCCGTGTTGGACACGTGGCTAACCTGACTCTGCTGATGAGACTGTGATTGTTGAAACCGTGTTGGACCAGTGGCTAACCTGACTCTGCTGATGAGACTGTGATTGTTGAATCCAATGCTGCTGGGAAATAAACTCACTCCCAGAAGGCCATTGGGTTTATGCAATGTAAAAGAAAAACGTGACTTCCTGTGGAGACACAAATATGGGAAGCAGCTGCATTGCCATTGTATTAATTGGCCGAAAACACCTCCATATTCTATTGTTCTTTCCGTAAAGTCACGTAGAGAGATATGAATGCCTGCAGTCACGAACATTTTAAAGTCAAAACACCTTCATATATAGATGACTGCAGATCGTGGTGCCATCACTGCCTGGCTGATGCTGCTGCCTTCCCACTCGTTTGGGGTTCCTCCTCCTGGCAACTCCGAGTCGTCCCCTCTCTCTCTGAGTCGTCCTTTCTCTCTCTCTGAGTCGTCCTCTCTCTCTCTGTATGGTCTCCAACTACGAAGTGACCCACTCCCTCTCTGCCCCTCCGAGTCGTCTCCTCCCTCTCTCCGAGTCGTCCTCTCCCTCTCTCTGAGTCGTCCCCTCCCTCTCTCTCCCTCTCTCCGAGTCGTCCTCTCCCTCTCTCCCCCTCAGAGTCGTCCCCTCCCTCTCTCCGAGTCGTCCTCTCCCTCTCTCTGAGTCGTCCTCTTCCTCTCTCTCCCTCTCTCCGAGTCGTCCTCTCCCTCTCTCCCCCTCTGAGTCGTCCCCTCCCTCTCTCTCTCAGTCGTCCCCTCCCTCTCTCCGAGTCGTCCTCTCCCTCTCTCTCCCTCTCCCTCTCTCCGAATCGTCCTCTCCCTCTCTCCCCCTCTGAGTCGTCCCCCCTCTCTCTCCGAGTCGTCCTCTCCTCTCCCCCTCTGAGTCGTCCTCTACCTCTCTCCGAGTCGTCCCCTCCCTCTCTCCGAGTCGTCCTCTATCGGCGGCACTCACTGCGGTCGCGTCGATACAGTCACACCTTCAAGTAAAAATAATTACGAATAAAAACAAATTATTAATATTACAATGTATTTGTTTACTTTGTGTCTTGCTATTGTTAAAAAATTTTGGTCCTACGTTTGCTTTGTAATTTTTTTTTATAATATTCTAATAATTATTTATAATAATTATTAACTGTATTATTAATTTGCTCACTTTGTACGCTGTATCTCTTTTCATTTCATTTTGTTGCGTCCAACATTTGCTCCGTTGAAAATTTGTAAAAACATCTAAAAAAAATAAAGCGTTCAAACGAATTTGTATCATCTTTTTTTTTTTTAAACTTCGCGCAAATCTTTCGCGGTGTTCGCGAGTCTGCTGCATCCTTCCGTCTCGTCGCCTTGAATCACTCGCCCACAACAACAACAACAACATTGATAATGATAATACACAGACGGGCCCCAGTGAACGCAACGGGCTTCTTTTAATTAGCGAGCGTGCTCCTCGTTTAATGGCCGTGGATCAATCACGCGGCAGCGCGCCGATCAATAGGCGCGCGGGATAAAAATAGCGCAGTGTCACGGTTACAAGGGGACCCCATCCACCTCTCCTCCCCCTCTCCTCCCTCCTCTCCTCCCTCCTCTCCTTCCCCTCTCCTTCCTCTCTCCTCCCTCTCCTCCCCCTCTCCTTCCCCTCCCCCCCTTCCCCTCTCCCCCACTTCTCCCCCTTCTCCTACACCGCCTCCTCCGCCTCCCGTTCTCCTCACCTCCATCTCCCCTGCTCCCCCCCCCTCCACCCGTCCAATTAATCTACCCCCCACCACCACATTCACCCTGCCCCCCCCCCATTACTAAATTAATAAATGACCCAGGCCGCGCGTAGTATGTACTGTATGTTGAACTTCTTTCGCACCGTACGTAGCCAAACGTAATATGGTACGAAGGGTGGGTGACTGTAACAGGTTCACGGTGAAGTCTCACAAAGTGAGGATGTGTGGACTCCTTGCGCAGCCCGAGACGCGATAACGCCACACACACACACCCTGAGCAGCCGGTAGGAAATCACAATGAGACTTGTGAATAATGACAGCGTCGACTTTTAGTGTGGCGCTGCTGTACTGTGTTCACTTCCTCTGGGAAAGAGAGAAAGGACGACGACTCAGAGAGAGAGAGAGAGGACGACTCAGAGAGAGAGAGGACGACTCAGAGAGAGAGGACGACTCAGAGAGAGAGAGGACGACTCAGAGAGAGAGAGGGCGACTTAGAGAGAGAGAGAAAGAGAGGACGACTCAGAGAGAGAGGACGACTCAGAGAGAGAGAGAGAGGACGACTCAGAGAGAGAGGGCGACTTAGAGAGAGAGAAAGAGAGGACGACTCAGAGAGAGAGAGAGGACGACTCAGAGAGAGAGAGGACGACTTAGAGAGAGAGGACGACTCAGAGAGAGAGGACGACTTAGAGAGAGGACGACTCAGAGAGAGAGGACGACTCAGAGAGAGAGGACGACTTAGAGAGAGAGAGGACGACTTAGAGAGAGAGGACAACTCACCAAAAAAAGGGAACGACGCAGAGAGAGAGAGAGAGGGCGGACGACTCGGAGATAGGACGACTTAGAGGGAGGGGATGACTTAGAGAGAGAGAGGGACGACTCAGAGGCGCCAGTAGGAGGAGGAACCACAGACGAGGAGTGGAACGGCAGCAGCAGCAGCAGCAGCCACAAGGCTGCGAGGAACCGGAGCTACCAACAATTGTCCAAGCTTTGCGGTCCTCTATGTATAAAGGTGTTTCCGGCCAATTAATGAGCGTTCATGCGTATTGGAGGAACCCGGAGCATCCGGAGACAACCTACGCGTGCGAGGGGGAAACACTCTATCCCGTACAGCGGGAACAGGTGGAATCCGCACTCTGTTGTCCCGCCTACTCCTGGCGAGCCAGGGTACGGCTCTTCCTCGACGCCCACGGGCAAGGGAGTTTCACAACAACACCATCTGCGTGTGATCCACCAACCCGCGCTGGATGCCTCCACATTGCTGCAGGCATCCACGTGCAGCGGCGTAGCCACAACCACCACCACAACCGCCGCCGCCGCCCGGCTGATGCGATGACCAGGTCATGGTGTCTAGAGGATGCTATGGTGGCTGTGAGATGTTAGCTACCTCGCCAGGTATACACGAGGTCGTGGGTTTGATCCGTGACGCCTGCTGCTGCAGTATATTCCGAGTTTGCGTGTCTCTCTCTCTTATCATCATCACGGTGGCTGTGAGATGTTAGCTACCTCGCCAGGTATACACGAGGTCGTGGGTTTGATCCGTGACGCCTGCTGCTGCTGTATATTCCGAGTTTGCGTGCTCTCCCTTCTCCCTGTGGTCGCGTGGATTTTTCTCCGGGTCTCACGTATTTTCCCCACGCATTTAACATCGACATCACGCGTTTAGCGTATTTGGCTGCCGCTCTTCATTCGCACGCGATAAGCCACTTGGTCGAGCTATCATTTGTGCTAGGCCTGGTGGCTTGGTTGAAAAATATTCGTACAGCTTTACTGGAGCCTTATCTTGGTAAAATAAAAACTTGTTATCATTAGACCTCCTTTGCCAGTACCAAAATGTCACCTGAAGAAGGCTACTTGTGTTGTGGCCGAAACGTCGTGATAATTTTATTATCTTATTTGATTTTATCATTTTATTCTCATTCTACGTGACTTTACCGAAAGAACCAAAGAAGATGTAATAATACGGTTTTCCCCCTTTTTTTCTGGCAACAAAACTGAGACCTTTTTACAATGTCTGCATTAACCACAATACCTGCAGTCAAAATGCAAACAAAAAAACATACTATGATAATATATGCATTGTCCTTGAAACTGATTGGTCCACACCAAAGCCGTATTATTTATTTGTTACTTTCCTTCTCGTTCGTACAATTTTCGCTCGGCCAATTGCTGCACCAAATAATTGGCATCCCGACGGCACCCATTCATTCCAACCCAAGGGGTGGGTGGGGGGGTGGGTTGCGTGGTCGACCTCCACTCAGCACTCAATCCGCGTTGGTTGAGTCAGGACGTGGTCTCGTTAAAAAAACACAGACACGCACACGGCCGTTGCGAAGTTTCAAGACCGGCCTCTGACACAGTAACTCCTTGCCATCACTACGCTGGCCATCATTTACCTATTTAAACATTTGCTTTTACTTGACCAGGTATGGCCCCCACTGAGCAACGCAACAATTTTTTTTCAGGAGCGACCTGACTTTCATGAATTATAGCTCAACGAAGTGGCTTATCATCTTCACGTGAGCATTTATCGCAGCAAAATACTCTAGAGGACCCGGAGAAAAATCGACGCAACCACGGGGAGAGGGATTCGTAAACTCCAAATATACAGCATGCGTCAGAGTCAGGATCGAACCCACGACCTCCTGTACACCAGGTGAGATAGTTAACATCTCCTAGCCACCGTGATGATGATGACGAGAGAGAGATGCACACTCCAAATATACAGCAGGCGTCAGGGTCTGGATCGAAGCCACGACCTCCTGTACACGAGGCGAGGTAGTTAACATCTCCTAGCCACCGTGATGATGATGAAAGAGAC